ACAACATTAAACCTGCAATGAATCAGATTGTGGTGCTGATGTATGTAAGCCAAGCTAACTTTAAAAGAAAACAAATTCTATAGCCAAATATTTGCTGTCAGGGTGTGCTGTCGCTGAAACTGTCCGTGAAGATCAGACTGAAGAACAGAAGAAAGTACACTCTCTGGACACTTTATTAGGTCCACCTTGCTAGTACCAGGTTGGACCCCCTTTTGCCTTCAGAACTGCCTTAATTCTCCCTTCCATACATTCAACAAAGTATTGGAAACATTCCTTAGAGATTTTGGTCCATATTGACATGAGTTACTGTTGCCTTTCTATCATCTGGAACCAGTCTGCCCATTCTCCTCTGACCTCTGACATCAACAAGGTATTTTCATCCACTCAACTGCCGCTCACTGGATATTTTCTCTTTTTTGGACCATTCTCTGTAAACCCTAGAGATGGTTGTGCGTGAAAATCCCAGTAGATCAGCAGTTATTGAAATACACAGACCAGCCCATCTGACACCAACCACCATTCCACATCCAAAGTCACTTAAATCCCCTTTCTTCCCCATTCTGATGCTTGGTTTGAACTTCAGCAAGTCGTCTTCACCACGTCCAGATGCCTAAATGCTTTGAGTTGCTGCCATGTGATTGGCTGATTAGCAATTTGTGTTACCAAGCAAATGAACAGGTGTACCTAATAAAGTGGCTGATAAGTGTAAATAGACTTCTAAGTAAATAAATATTGGGATATTCCATATGCCAGCTTTATTCAATAAGCAGTGCAAGGAACAAAGCACTGCACCCAATCAGATTTTCCCACATGGAAGAAAAAATATTATTTATATAATATTTATATTTTAAAAATATTCTTCCCAAATCTATTGACATAAATTTCAAATGCTACAATTTTGGCATATATTTATATATATATATATATATATATATATATACATACATACATACATACATACACACACATATATATATATATATATATATATATATATATATATATATATATATATACACATACACACACACATATATACAGTCAGGTCCATAAATATTGGGACATCAACACAATTCTAACATTTTTGGCTCTATACACACCACCACAATGGATTTGAAATGAAACAAACAAGATGTGCTTTAACTGCAGACTGTCAGCTTTAATTTGAGGGTATTTACATCCAAATCAGGTGAACGGTGTAGGAATTACAACAGTTTGCATATGTGCCTCCCACGTCTTAAGGGACCAAAAGTAATGGGACAATTGTCTTCTCAGCTGTTCCATGGCCAGGTGTGTGTTATTACCTCATTATCCCAATTACAATGAGCAGATAAAAGGTCCAGAGTTCATTTCAAGTGTGCTATTTGCATTTGGAATCTGTTGCTGTCAACTCTCAAGATGAGATCCAAAGAGCTGTCACTATCAGTGAAGCAAGCCATCATTAGGCTGAAAAAACAAAACAAACCCATCAGAGAGATAGCAAAAACATTAGGTGTGGCCAAAACAACTGTTTGGAAAATTCTTAAAAAGAAGGAATGCACCGGTGAGCTCAGCAACACCAAAAGCCCCGGAAGACGACGGAAAACAACTGTGGTGGATGACTGAAGTATTCTTTCCCTGGTGAAGAAAACACCCTTCACAACAGTTGGCCAGATCAAGAACACTCTCCAGGAGGTAGGTGTATGTGTGTCAAAGTCAACAATCAAGAAAAGACTTCACCAGAGTGAATACAGAGGGTTCACCACAAGATGGAAACAACTGGTGAGCCTCAAAAACAGGAAGGCCAGATTAGAGTTTGCCAAACAACATCTAAAAAAGCCTTCACAGTTCTGGAACAACATCCTATGGACAGATGAGACCAAGATCAACTTGTACCAGAGTGATGGGAAGAGAAGAGTATGGAGAAGGAAAGGAACTGCTCATGATCCTAAGCATACCACCTCATCAGTGAAGCATGGTGGTGGTAGTGTCATGGCGTGGGCATGTATGGCTGCCAATGGAACTGGTTCTCTTGTATTTATTGATGATGTGACTGCTGACAAAAGCAGCAGGATGAATTCTGAAGTGTTTCAGGAATATTATCTGCTCATATTCAGCCAAAGCCAAATGCTTCAGCAACTCATTGGATGCCTGCTTCACAGTGCAGATGGACAATGACCCAAAGCATACTGCATGTCTATGTGTTCCAGACTTCAGGCTGTAAAAGCAACCAAAGAGTTTTTTAAGGGAAAGAAGTGGAATGTTATGCAATGGCCAAGTCAATCACCTGACCTGAATCCAATTGAGCATGCATTTCACTTGCTGAAGACAAAACTGAAGGCGAAATGCCCCAAGAACAAGCAGGAACTGAAGACAGTTGCAGTAGAGGCCTGGCAGAGCATCACCAGGGATGAAACCCAGCGTCTGGTGATGTCTATGTGTTCCAGACTTCAGGCACTCTTCCTTTGCAAAATTCACTGCAAAGGATTTGCAACCAAGTATGCGACCCAAAAAAGTGAAAGTTTGATTTATGATTATTATTCTGTCCCATTACTTTTGGTCCCCTAAGAAGTGGGAGGCACATATGCAAACTGTTGTAATACCTACACCGTTCACCTGATTTGGATGTAAATACCCTCAAATTAAAGCAGACAGTCTGCAGTTAAAGCACATCTTGTTCTTTTCATTTCAAATCCATTGTGGTGGTGTAAAGAGCCATTCCGTTTTCGGTAAACAGTTAGAATGATTGCATTTACCGACACAAAAAAAATGTTAGAATTGTGTTGATGTCCCAATATTTATGGACCTGACTGTATGTGTGTGTGTGTGTATGTATAGATATATGCAGGTGTGTGTGTGTGTTATTCTTATATGTTATGGACAAAGGCAAATCTAGTTATATATATATATATTTATATATATATATATATAAAAACATACACACACTGCATGTTGAAATGCATATTTTATATATACAACATATATGAAAAATATTTTTAAAAATATATTCTTCAGATTTTTTTAACATATAAAAAAGTAATTTTAACATATTTTTACATATATTTGTAAATGCATTCCAAAAATGTAGATTTGTATTTTTAAAGACACACAGTTCATTTGAAATGTATTTTTAAAAATATTTTCATATATTTTGTAATAAAAAACGCATTTCAACATGATGGAGATGAAGATGGAGATAATGGGCAAAATTGTAGCATTTCAAATATATGTTAATATGTGTGGGAAGAATATTTTTAAAATATATTTCAAATATATTTTTCTTCCATATGGGTTACTTTACTGAAGTCACATAAATGCAAGATGGCTTCTCACTGGCTGCTACCAATAGCTCCTAATAATGGTACTTGTTATGAGTTGGAAATTCAGAAAGTACTAAAGCTTTGAGCCAACATGAACATCCAAAACAACCTCTCTAGAAATGAAGACTCAACTTGTACAGTCGAAGAATATTCAGCACCCAATCAGGGGCAGACTGACAAATCATGGGGCCCCTGTGTCCTTGCCCAAACTCAAAAAAGCCTATGAAAAAGGTACCAGGGGCATCTCATGGGGCCCCCTACTGACCCAGGGCCCTCGGGCAGTGCCCGAGTTTCCAAATGGTCAGTCCGCCCCTGCACCTAATACAATTCTGTGTGTGTGTGGGAAGGAGGGGTGGGATGCCTGCTGTTTTCAGTGGTTACTCCTGCCAACCTCTACGTCACTACTGTGTCCTGTAGTCATGTAGAGGCTAGTGGGAGGAACCACAGCTCGCAACAGGGTATGCGGGAATCTGACACTCAAAGTGGTGCACATTGGCACATCCAGTGTTTTCAGGTTGGTCTTGCATCTTCTTTCAAGCAATGCCTGGGTACAGTCTCCCAAGGCTCAGTCGAGGAGTCAGCCAAAGCTGCCCACTGAAACCACAGAGGCCATGGATCAGCTACCGCTTAAAAGAAGAATCTTGCAGAAAAAAAATCCAAATAAAAAGAAGAGAGAAAATTCCTATCACCTAAGGACACTAGCAAAAAATGTGGCTTGCTGGGAGTGGGAGGGACTATAGAGGGGATGCCATTGCAACTTTTTTGCCTGTGTCCAATCACCTAAAAGTAGCTGTCTATAACCCAAGGCTAAAACTTTGATCCTGTGTCCTGTACTGGAAGATGAAATAAAGGAGCCTGCTGGGTCCTGGTGAGGAAAAAGCAATCTTTAGTTGAGTGGAAGGTGCAAAACGAGCTTTCCCAGACTATATGCATGTTCTGCTCTTGCTATGCATACACTTCATAGGCAGAGAGAGGCAAATGAGCTGTCTACCAGGTTACCAGTAGAGAATTTACATCCTGTGTGCCAGATCCAATCCGGCGGAGATCTGCTGTAGCTTCCTATCGAACCCCTTTGTTATACCCCCTTCTTTACCAGTCCAATTTTCAGCTTTCAGCGCTGTCGCACTTTGATTGACAATTGCGTGGTCATGCAAGATTGTACTCATATGAAATTTTTATCATGTTTTTCTCACAAATAGAGCTTTCTTTTGGTGGTATTTAATCGCCGCTGGGCACTTTACTTTTTGCTCTATAAACAAAAATTTCAAAAAATTTGAAAAAAAGTTTCTTTGTTTCTATTATAAAAATTTTCAAACAGGTAATTTTTCTCCTTCACTGATATGCATTGATGAGGCAGCACCATTGGGCACTAATAGGCGGCACTGATAGGGCACTGATAGACAGCACTGCAGGGCACTGATAGGCAGCACTGATAGGCAGCACTAATGAGCTGAGGATAGGCGGCACTGATAGGCAGCACTGATGAGGTGGCACTAATGAGGTGTTACGGATAGGCGGCACTGATAGGCGGCACTAATGAGGTGTCACGGATAGGCGGCACTGATAGGCGACACTGATGATGGGTACTGATAGATAGCACTGATAGGTGGCACTGACTGGCATCACTGCTGGGCATTGACTGGTGGCACTGCTGGGCACAGACTGGCAGCACTGCTGGGCTGCACTGCTGGGCACAGGTGGGTTGCACTGGTGGGCACAGGTGGGTGGCACTGCTGGGCACAGGTGGGTGGCACTGCTGGGCACAGGTGGGTGGCACTGCAGGGTGGCACAGTTGGGTGCACTGCTGGGCACAGGTGGGCGGAGCTAGTGGGTGCACTGCTGGGCACAGGTGGGCGGAACTTGTGGGTGGCACTGCTGGGCACCGATCATCAGGGCACTGATCATCAGTGCCCTGATGATCGGTGCCGATCCCTGCTCTAACAACTGCCGGTTCTCAGCAGTACTTTCCTCATGATCTGACAGCGTGAGGAAAGTGCAGCTGAGAACCGGCAATTGCATTTCCCGGTGATCAGCGTGTCATTGGACACAGCGATCACGTAGATTGCCGGGGGACGCGCAGGAGAGCGCGTTCTGGGAGGGCGTCATATGACGCCTACCCAGAACTGGCCGACCGCAGTATAGCCGTCATTCGGCTATCTGCGGTCGGCAAGTAGTTAATTAACTATGGAATCTACACCAGCTTCTTTTTTAGGACCCTGTTCACATTATCAGGTAGCGGGGGGGACGAGCGTTTCCGTTACATGATTTTGACATCATGATTTTCACATAGTTACATAGTCTGGCTGAAAAAAGACAAAAGTTCAACTATAAAAAATTTGGAAACTCGTGCACTGCCCAAGGGCCGGGGTCAGTAGAGGGCCCCATGAGATGCCCCTGGTACCTTTTTCATAGGCTTTTTTGAGTTTGGGCAAGGACACAGGGGCCCCATGATTCCCTATTGCCCGGGGGCCCCATGAGTTGTCAGTCCGCCCCTGATCTAGAGGCAAAAAACAGCAATCTAATTTGCTCCTGCAGGGGAAAAAAATCCTTCCTGATCCTCCGAGAGGCAATTGGATATTCCCTGGATCAACTTTACCTATAAATGTTAGTATCCAGTTATATTCTGTGTATCTAAGAAAAAATCCAGGACTTTTTTAAAGCAACTGAGCTGGCCAGAACCAACTCTTGAGGAGTCTATTCCACATTTTCACAGCTCTCACTGTGAAGAAACCTTTCCGTGTTTGGAGATTAAATTTATTTTCCTCCATACATAAAGAGTGCCCCCTTGTCCTCTGTGATGACCTCAGGGTGAATAAACGAGTTCACTATATGAACCGCTGATGTATTTATATATTATTATTATTATTATACAGGATTTATATAGCACCAACAGTTTGCGCAGCGCTTTACAAAATGAAGGTAGACATTACTGTTACAATACAATTTGGTAGAAGAGAAAACAGAGGGCCCTGCTCCTGGAAGCTTACAATCTAGGAGGAAGGGTTGAGTGATACAAAAGGTAATAGCAGTGGAGGGATGAGCTGATGGGGGAAATAAAAGGTGGTTTACTAAGTAGAAGCAAGATAGGTGTCTTTAAAGAGAAAGGTTTTCAGGGATCGTCTAAAGGTGGATAGATTAGGAGACAGCCAGACAGATTGGGGTAGGGAGTTCCATAGGATGAAAAATAGAGGAGAGAGAGGTGCGCCAGACTAAGTGTAGTATAAAAGTCACAGTTTATTGCACACAAAATAAAAACACTCACAGGAGGTAGAGATATATCAGGCATCAATGATATATAGGGAGGGCGTCATCCGGGTGTGATCCTATCAGCAGGATAGATGGAGTTCCAGGGGCCACAGTTGTACCAGCTGGTACTCCTTGGTCATTCCCGTGGGAGGGGTGAGGAGGGAGGGTGGATGTCCAGGGGGGCGTGGTCCCTTTACATCCCTACAGCTGAACTTCTTCCATCTCCCCACTGATCCTTGTGACTAATATACCCACAACTACCTCTCCTGCGCCAATACTCAATCTTTTTATAGTTCCATAGGATGGGAGAAGCTCGGGAGAAGTCCTGGGAGGAGGTGACATGAGAACTAGAGAGCAGAAAGTCTTGAGCGGTTTGGTAGATATTTTGAGGCCAGGTTGGTGATGTAGCTGAGGGCAGAGTTGTGGATGGCTTTGTAAGTTGTTAATATTTTGAATTATATTTTGTTGAGCGAGTGGAAGCCAGTGGAGGGATTGGCAGAGAGGGCTAGCAGACACTGAATGGTTGGTAAGGTGGATGAGCCTGGCAGCAGTATTCATAATTGACTGAAGGGGGGATAGGCTATGTAAAGGTAAGCCAATGAGGAGGGAGTTGCAGTAGTCGAGGTGAGAGATAACCAGGGAGTGAATCAGGAGCTTTGTGTTATCATTGGTTAAAAAGGGGTGTATTCTGGAGACGTTGCAGGGGTTGAGGCGACATGATTTGGACAGGGATTGGATGTGGGCCTGAAAGGATAGTTCAGAATTCAGAGTTACCCCTAGCACTCTGGCATGCAGGAATGGGTTGATAGTGGTGCTACTGATCCTGACCGATAAATCAGGGAAAGAGGTACGTGGGGGGAGGAAATATTATGAGCTCAGTTTTAGATTGAGTTTTAGGAAGTGGTGTGACACCCAGTCTGATATGTCTGTTAGTAAATTGGTGATATGTGAGGAAACTGATGGGGTGAGCTGAGGAGTAGAGAGATAGATTTTTGTGTGTCATCAGCATAGAAATGGTATTGGAAACCATGGGAAGCTATCAGCTGACCCAAGGAAGAAGTGTAGATCGAGAATAGGAGAGGTCAAGGACAGAACCTTGGGGGACCCTGACAGTAAGAGGAGTAGGAGAGGAGGAAGTAGAGTTGTAAGGGACACTGAAGGTGCGATGAGATAGGTAAGATTCGAACCAACAGAGAGTGCAGTCACGGAGACCATTCCATGATTCTGAGTGTCACAAAGGGCAGCCTATTCACTTAAATGGGCTGCTCTAAGGGTGTTGGTCTCCCAACAAAAGCTCCTGCTCCTTTCTTGGTCAACAAGCTTTGCTTGATCTTTAAAGCCCTGATTGCCGCTCAATCCCGTTACAGGTCAATCGCAACAGAATTGCCACACGATTTGGGATTGCAGGCAGAATCGCGTTCCACGTGACTGGACTGGAGCGGGCTAAAGATATCTAAGTTTATATCTTTTTTACACAGGTTAGTCAGAAGAGGTGTTAGGAGGAGGGAGGGAACATGTTTAAAACTTGTTAGGGTTTAAAATACAGTATTGACTGGAGGTAAAACTTTTTTTTTTGGATACAGTGGAGATGGATTAGTGCACCTTTTAGGTTTTTATTGCTGTCTGTACCCCTGTTAAGGAGATTCACCTTCTCTACTTGTCCTGTTTATCATTATCATTGAAAGTAAAAGAAAAGAGATGTTCCAATGGGGACATTAGTTCTAGTGACCTGGGAGCCCCAAGGACTTCCCTTAATTTGCAGAGATTTTCTTACTTCCTGTTTTGGCTATGAGACAGGAAGGGAAGGTAAATCTTCCCAATGGGACACAGATGGCAAGAAAATAAACTGACAGGGGTTCTAACCCCTCTTACTCTATCCAATATGCAAAAAACAAATTGCCTATGATTCTACTTTAATTTCCCCCATTCTTGCCTTGGTGAGATTAATGCCAGGGGGTGGTGATAAATATATTAAAAAAGGGCAAGTTAAAAAAATTGTACGAAATATAAAATTATATACAATATAAATAAAATAAAAAAATATAAATATAGGCAACTAAAATATAAAAATAAAATGAAATAAAGAAAAAGCATACTGTAAAAATAAAAGAATATATATAAAAAAGAGGAATAAAAAGGTATAAAATATATTTTAAAAATGAAATAAAAGAAAACGTATGCTATATAAATAAAAAATAATATAAATATAAATTAGGTAAATAAAATGGTATAAAAATAAAAAAAAATAAAATAAAATAAAAAAAAAGTATACTGTATAAATAAAAGAATAGAAATATAAAATAGGTAAATAAAATGGTCTAAAATATTTAACAAAAATGAAGTAAAGAAAAAGTATACTATATAAATAAAAGAATTTAAACATAAAACAGGTAAATAAAATACATAGATTAGCTAAACAAAAAAAAAAAAGTGGAGGTGGGGGGATTAGATTGCAGCAAGCTTGCATTTTTGTGTGGAGGTCCCCTTTAACTCTTCATAGAGTCTCTCTTTCTCTCTCCCCTCTCTCTCCCTCCCTCCCTCTTTCTTTCTTTCTTTCTTTCTCTCTCTCTTTCTCTCCCCTCCCAGCACAGCACCTTCTCCGTCTGGCTACTATAAAGCCTACAAATCCCAGCATGCTTCACTGCTGACCTCACTCTACCCGGAACCACTGAGTGAATATAAATAACAAAGGTACTGCCTTCTCTAGTCTGTTCCGACCCACCATTGGTGCTAGACCTGTCACACAAAGCTAAATCGGCTCCTGAGTGGCTGAGACGGAAAAAGTGGTTCTAACTTCCTTAAAGGGACAGCACACTGGCCTTCCTGCAGCTGTTCTGTCATCACATGGCTGAGGAAACGTGAATGAGTGTTCTAAGCAGGGTCTGGGAATACACATCAACATGGTGAGCAGCAGACCTTGTCTTTATAATATGTGTGCTGTGGCCTTTACTTGCCGAGTACTTTGCAATGAGTTCACTGGTGCAAGTGCATGCAAAATATTCCACGTCAAATCTTTGTATGGGATGGGGTTGTAGATATCAAGGTCCAAGGTGAAATCAATGGAGAGCTATTTGCAGTGTGGAAGTCTGATGAGAGTAGATGTTCTCTTGTAGGATATGTTCTTGGTGTTTTGCATGGGGACACTTTCCAGGCATTGTCCTCCAGAGTTTGTAAAGTACCACTGCTGTCTGCTCACAAGCATGCAGAATCAAGCCATGGAACAGATATCGCACTTCTTACTAGTAGACCGTACTAAGAGGGACTCGATGAATAAAAGTGACTAGCAATGAGCTCAGGTGTCTTCGGATCCTAGTCTAGATCCACCTGAATGAGCCCACCAGAAAGCCGTCACCTGTACTGTGGTCACGGCATTCCTTTAACCATCAGCTACTTGTGACTTCAGGGCAGGGAAGGCCTTAAAAGCTGATGAATGGCTCAGTAGATTGACAGCTTCATGGTGGAATCGCTCAGGTGGGTTTAGACTGGGATCCAAACACACCTGAGCTCATCACTAGCTGTAACCCATAGTAACCTATTTACTGGACCAGTAAAAATTATACTCTAGTTGGTATCTATAGGTTACTGGACTTGGGCCGGTTCACACCTGATTTGCACAAGAACCTGTGTGTTTCTGTGTGTCTCAGTGCAATGCAATTTTCAGCCCGTTGATTTGAAAGGGATGAATTCACGTTGGATCACACCAAAAGTAATGCATGCACTACTTTTCAAAAAAACACACTACACTAGATTGCATGGTGCTGCGATACCATGCAATCCAGTGCAGGCAAACACTCTGCGTTTTGTGATCTGCATTTGGAGTGTCATTAGGATTACATTGACACATGCAACTGATGGCACACCCAGTGCTTTTTGAACATGGTGTGGGAAACGCACACAGAACACGTGTTTTCCCGCACTGCATTCTGGTTCTGAGCCCTTAGACCCAGTTCACACTAGAATGTGGTGCAGGAAACCCGTGATCCGTGCACGTTTCCCACGCACTCTGCCTTTTGGATCTGCAGTGGTGTGCATTCCTGTGCAACGCAAAGGTAATTCATAGTGTGAACCTAGGCTGAAAATGGATCTTCATCTACTAAATCACTTGGTATCCTTTGAATCTATCCCTCCTACTCAATCATAAGGCTAGGTTCACATATGTGCAGGTGGTGCGGCTGCGGGACCCGCACATAAATATCTGCAGCCGCACCACCCGCACAGAGCAATGTGGGACCTGCACATAAATATCTGCAGCTGCACCACCGTTACAGAGCAATGTGGGACCCGCACATAAATATCTGCAGCCGCACCCACCCGCACAGAGCAATGTGGGACCCGCACATAAATATCTGCAGCCGCACCACCCGCACAGAGCAATGTGGGACCTGCACATAAATATCTGCAGCTGCACCACCGGTACAGAGCAATGTGGGACCCGCACAAAAATACCTGCAGCCGCACCACCCGCACAGAGCAATGTGGGACCCGCACAAAAATACCTGCAGCCGCACCACCCGCACAGAGCAATGTGGGACCCGCACATAAATATATGCAGCTGCACCACCGGCACAGAGCAATGTGGGACCCGCACAAAAATACCTGCAGCCGCACCACCCGCATAGAGCAATGTGGGACCCGCACAAAAATACCTGCAGCCGCACCACCCGCACAGAGCAATGTGGGACCAGCGGGCACGGCACCCATACTGGAAATCGCAACCGCACTGGGAACCGAGGTTCCCTTGCGGGCTGCGGTTTCCAAAGAAGTAAGTGTACCGGGGCACGGGAGTCCATTCAAAGGAATGGGCTCTCGTGCCCACGCAAAACGCAGATATGTGAACTAGATCCCTTCTTCTTTCTTTTTTTTTTTTTCTTTCTTTATAGTCCCATCAGCCCCCTGCCTCCATTCTTGCCCTACTACAGAAGCCTCCTGGGATATCTGACTTGGATATCCTCAAAAGTAAAGAATTATTATGTTCTAGGGAACACCTCATTCTCATGGGCATACTACAGTGTACACCCATGAGATGGCTGTGTTTTCCCGCATTCAGATACACAGGCGTTCCGTGCATCCCTGTGCAGGCAAGTCCGTGGGGTGGTGGGAGCATGTCGCCGAATGTGCAATGTCTGCGTTTAGGGTCATGCATCCGCGCGGCTGTCAAAGCATTGTCTTCACACAGGTGTATGCCTATGCGTAGTACGCCAGTATGAACCAAGTCCTGATTGTGCCTAATCAGTACTCCAAAAAATGTACCTTTTTTGTCTGGAATTCCTACTGAAAAAAGCAGTGTATTTTCTGGTGTGTGCAGAGCCTAGGCATTCTTGTGCCCACAGCTTCATAGCTGTATATTCTCAGTGTGAGATCTAGGGCACTGCTGCAGGAGATTTGGAGCATGATTTAAGCGATACAGCAATTGTGCTGAACACTCTTCTCCTTAGACGCTTTGACAGGAGGAAACAAAGTCCAGCATGTATCAAGTTGGTCAGCTACATAAGAGACAAAATGATGAATAAGTCAGTAACTGGGAAAGAACAGCTGCAGGAAGACCACAGGAAATAATGCTGACTTTGCCCTCTGTCTCCTTTTTTTTGGGCACAGCTTCCATAGATCAGCTCCTTTTGTAACATGTTGCTTTGACATGTTTTAGACGTGTTGCATATTTGAAACCATTTTTGACTTAAGAGGTAAAATGCAGGTCAACACAGTAAATCTGGTTTCAGAAACTTTGTCCAAGTCACTTCCACAGAATACATTTATGTGAACAAGGCCAAATTAAGTATTTTATCTATTTTTTTTTTTTTTTTTGTGCTGAAAGGTGTAGCAAAATGCAAGAAGGTGTACCTGGTGTGAATGAAAAATATAGCAAAATTCAGTTTTCCTATAATGAAATGGGCAGAGGCTGCTTGTGAGCTTACGTATGTGTGTGCTGACAGTATATACCATACTGTATACACAACATCCAGAAAATATGAGCTATGTCATATATGTGCTCTAATAATAATTCTTTGATCCTTGTATAACTAGAGGCCATTCATTGATTGTTCTGCTGTTTCTTTTCATCTTTCTCTGTAGGCTGTGATGGGAATACAGATGGTGGTCACCTTATTGGTGGCCAGTATCATGCAGAGAGTGTCCCCCCACTACTCCTTTGCACGATGGATTCTCTGTAATGGAAGGTGAGCTTACTTCATACACATTATAATGTCTTTATTACAAATGCAGAGGTTTTTTTTATAGGGTGTTACCAAGCTTCTATAACTTCAAAGTGATACTATATATTGTAATAGGTTTGTAATAATGATGCTGGGATCTTTCTGATTTTTGTTCCACTAAAACAAAGCATAATGTGTACAAATATCCCAAAAACTTTTCTTCCATTAGTAGTTTTTTAGGGATCTTGTCTACTACTATTCCTTTAGGAATCTCATTTGAGACTGTTATTGTAAACTTTCATTGCAATAGTGTTCATATCACCTTGTCTGCTTAAAGCGGAGCTCCACCCAAAAGGGGAAGTTCCACTTTAAGGACTGCTCCCCAGTAAGGATTGGCACCTTTGGGGGACGGAGGGGGAGCGGGTACCTGAAATTGAATAGGCCATTGGAAGCGGAAGGTGTCCTCCCTCCCTGTAGTCTTTTGGGACACGTGACAGGTCCCAGAAGACTACAGGGCCATTCATGAAGAGCAGCGCTACTCACGCATGCACAGTGGGTACCCAGCTGTGAAGCCGCAAGCTGTCACAGCCAGGTGCCCAAACTGAAGATGCCGGCCTCCTGGAACACAGGACGGCCGGTGAAATGACTGCAGGGGACACACCGCGGGATTGAGGGACAGGTAAGTGGCTGTTTTTTAGAAGTCAGCAGCTACAGTTTTTGTAGCTTCTGACTTTTATTTTTTGACAGCGTGAGTGGAACTCCACTTTAAGGTTCCCTCAAGCATAGCAGTCATTTTGTGTTACTAATTTAGGCACATATAGTTCTTTAATACTGTTCTCCTAAGGATTTTCTTTGTTTTATGTTTAATAGCTTGTTTCGTTTCAAACACCCAACTGAAGATGAACTGCGAGCCCTTGCTGGGAAGCAGAAACCCAAAGCAAAGAGAGAAAGGTGAGGCTATCTAACATGTGTTCTGTGAAAACAGCTTTTCTTTGTAAAATCCATTTCTGGATCATTTCTCTGTCATTTAAATAATGTTGACTATAGAGGGCTTCATGAACAGCTAAAGAGGATATGGGGGAAAAACATTAAAATCGTAAAGTAGGAAACATATACAGTATGAGCAGATTTGAAAGGAAATGAATGGTTTTTGGTCCATATTATCCAACATTTTTTTATATTTACAAATGTATAATCTATTTTCATTTTCTGCATTGAGATCTACAAATAAACATATAGTACAGGATATTTTGATAATGTAAAGTTTCCAGGACCTGCTGGACCTCTATAAAAAGAAAGGCAAGAAATTCCCCTGCACATGTTGACTGCTTCTGCAGGTTAAAAATCCAGATGAGTACATCTCTACCCACAGAGAGGGAACATGTGTACCTCCTGAGTCATTCAGCTAGGTCCATTCACTGTACAGTCTATTCCGGCTTTTTACAGCATAGTCGCAAATGAGCTTTCTAAAAACCTGATGTGGTAGCCTGCAACATTGAGCATATGATCCAGCATTGCCTGAAGGACAACTCTATTCAGAAAGAAAGTCAAGATTCTACCAGGGTCTGTATTTTGAATGCTTTTTTTCACAGATGTAATGGCTATCAAGAGAGCCATTTTTTATGGTTAAGTTCCAAAGCTTTTAATGCTCTACAGGAGAACAGAGAGGTTCTGAGAGACTCTTGAGGAGAAATGAGAGATCTTGTTTGGGAAAGGGAGACTTTATAGGTCATCAATTCCTTGTGCCTCCTTTGAGAAATAATGAATGAAAGCATAAACTGTCCATCTTGTACCTGATGAGGCTGGGATTGCTAATACATTATTACTAATCTCAAAGAACTGACTACTAAGTACGCTTCCAATCCTGATTGTAAATAAAATAAGATAACTGAGACTTCCAGTGCAGGGACATGAAACTGGTTGTGAGCTGCAAATTCTGCATATTTAGTCCATATTCCAAAGTGAGATGAGTTAGTCCTGGTGTTTCTGGATTTTAATTGTCTCAATTACTCCTGAAAGCAACCAAGCGCACTTAGTTTATGCCTCTCAACTCCAGGCTATGGCTGGGCAAGGGTCTTGGAAGTAATCATGGGAAAGCACATTTGGACTGGATGGTAACTACCAATGTGCACTGTCATTATACCTTCTTTTTTGTTTGCATGTGGTTATCACATCATGTATATTCACTTTTAAGTGGCGGATCGCCCCATCTGGCCAAATTTATGTGATAACCACATGCAGGTGCAACCTTTAAAATATCACAAAAACTGCACTGGTGTGCAAAATCATGTAAATATACGTGATTTTGCAATTCTGGGGAGGGTCTTGCCATTCGCGGCCTCAGCTGTCAACCACCGGGTCCCGGCCGGTGATTACTCGCTGACACCTGGTGATCGCCAAGTATCTCCGACTGGGGAGAGACCTGTGTATAAACATAGATATCCCCTGTCAGCTTCTGCACATTGCTTTGTATGGCTCTGCATAGCCGAGCCATACAAAGCAGTGTGCTTACAGTTGAAAGCACTCACACAGCATACTGTGAAACCGCAAACCACACACAGTTAACCTTTTGATCACCCCACATGTTAACCCCTTCCTGCCCAGTGCCATTAGTACAGTGTCTGTGCTTTTTATTAGCACTGATCACTGTATTGGTGTCAGTAGGGATGTCAGTGAACCAAGTCAGTTCCCCCCCAGTGTCAGAATGTCTCCCGCAGTCCCGCTATAAGTCGATGATCGCCATCATTACCAGTAAACTTTTGTATCTATACTGCCATTTGTAAACGCTATAACTTTAATGTAAGCCAATTAATGTACAGGTATTAGGATTTTGTTTAGGAAAGACATGTCGCAAAATACATGTTGGTGTAAATTTATGAGGAAATTCGAACTTTTAAATTTGTCTTACTGGACATGTTTAATAACAAAAAGTCAAAAATATTGTTTTTTTTTCTCAAAATTGTCAGTCTTTCTTGGTTTATAGCACAAAAAAATAAAAACCGTACAGGCGATCAAGTACCACCGAAAGAAAGCTCTATTTGTGGGGAAAAAATTACTTAAATTTCATTTGGGTGCAGCTTTGCATAACTTCGAAATTGTCAGTGAATGCAGTGCCGTATCGCAAAAAATGACCTGGTCAGGAAGGGGGGTAAATCCTCTGGAGGGTAAGTAATTAAAGAACAAGAAAACCAGAAATGTGTCAGCTGCAATACAGCATTTAGGGAATTCTTTTTCAGGGACCAATCTCTTCATTTTTATAAATCCTTGTCATAAAGACCAGCATTCAACTTTTCAATTACATTTTGCTGGGGTACCAAGAGCTTCTAAACATTGGATGAAATCGCTTTTTCCATGCCAGGAAGGCCATGGATATCCAAACATTTCACTGCACTGGTGCACCTTGATTGGCAGAAAGAGGATCTTCTTGTATGTTTGGCACGGCCTAACAATAAAATCAGTGGAGCTACTTACCTACTATGGTTACAAGTAAGCAGCTCCATGGATTGTATCGTTGGCATAAACTTCAAGTGCAAAGTCTCACCACTTGTGAAGAGACTTTTGGAACGTGTAACTGGACTATGAAAGGGACACAAGGGGTTACTTCAAATATTTCCGCAAATAAAGTTACGCTTTGTGCCTCTGCTGTGAAAGTTTGTGAAGGAAAGTGCTGTTAAAAAAAAAAAAAAAAAAAAAAAAGGAAATTTGTGGTAACAAGGACAAGAATGTTTTGTTTTTTGTTTTTTTTTTTCTGCATGATCATTGTTGAATTGTCCTTTTGTCCTTAGGAGAGTTAATGGGATGACTGAAGAGAAACCCCTGACAGTGCCAAGAGACATAGATCTGCACTTGGATATTCAACCAATCACTACCGTTGATGCCCTTGGTAATGTGTGTTTTTGTTTTTTTTCTGTATTGTGTTTTTTTTTTTGGGGGGGGGGGGGTTAGTACTGAAAAAAGAACAAATAAAATTGATATTTCACCTCAATGAGTAATTTCCCTTTTAGCTGGAGAAAATCAAACATTTTAATGTCTGTCACCCGACTACTAATTGGAGGTTGTTTAGGCTAAAATGCTTTTTGAGCATGTTCATAGAATGTCACTCTCTCTCATCATATTTAAGAAAGGGGATGGGGTGTCCCTAGGACTGGAAGGCACAGAGAGCAAAAAATGCTGAAAAAGTTTCTGACCCTCCAATCTGTTGGAAAAACTTTTTTTGTTGCTGAACAGATTGGTCATAATTTACTGTCCCTCTGAAATCATGTCACCATACTCAAAACAGAAGAGAAATTAAAACCTGATAGGTTCTAACTCTTCCCTACTCTATATAACACCATTTTTTGGAACTTTAAAGAGATGCTGTCACCTTGCCCATGCAGGGCAAAGTGACAATGTCTCTGCAAAAGGCATCCCCCATATTCTCAACATGCCTGAACTCCCACACAGCTCCTTGCTGCTTCACAGCCTTTGCTGAAATTGGGTGCATTGGTGATCCAAAGAGCATGGATGTCGCTCCCCCCAGTCATGAATGTCTGCAATTGGCTGCTTTTCATGGGGTGCATATCACATGTACCTGCTAACCTGGGAGTGCCAGGTATTCTTTGCCAGCTGTGAAGGAACAAAGGGCTGTAAGTGTATAGGCATTGGTGCATATCCTTTGCAGAGACCCTGTTGCCTCATCTTAGGTGTCCTTTTATGAAACCAAGGTCGGCGGCAATCCTAAGGATCGTTGCTGATCTCACTCAGATCATTAGTGGTTTAGGAAACAGAGATGATCAGCGGAGAACATGCTCTCCGCTGATCATCTCAGTACACAGATGGCCAGTGTATGAAGGAGCGAAGTCAGACCTTCACTGGCAAACTGTGTTCTCCCTCCAGATTCTCCAGCCTAGAGGTGGAGAATCGGGGGAACCGCAAACGAAGCAGTGGTAATTTACCTCTGCTTAGTAAACTGTGTGTTTGACTGATCTCTGCAGTAACTGCAGCCGTTTTCTAGCATTTAAAACATTTGTAGATCGCTTTTCTCCTTGTTCGGAGAAGTGGTCTACACTGCTTCATAAAAAAACATTCAGAGGAGAACTCTCTCCTCTGAGAATGCCGGAGAACTGAGCAGCGGTCATTTACCACTGCATGATAGGACACCTTAGTTAGGTAAGGTGACAGTCTCTTTTTAAACTGAATAATGAAAATGCTCACTTGCAGTATGTTTACTAGTTAAAACATATGTAGTTTATTGTAGGCATTTACATATTTTTAATTGATTCTGGTTTTTTTGTGTTTTGTTTTTTTGCAGTCCTTCGCTATTTCCTGGAGTATCAGTGGTTTATAGACTTTGCTTTGTATTCAACCATCATCTATTTATTCACTGAGGGATACTACTGCCTTGTGGATGCCCAAAATGAAGTTTAACATAGGGGTTCTCTGGTGTCTGATAACGGTCATTTTCTGCATGTATCCTTGTTACATAAGTATAGAGATTGGGGAAAATTGTTCAGAGTGTAAAATGTGTACAGTGAGACTTACTCCAGTGTGTGTGTGTGTGTGTACTGTATATATAGTTTGTTTTTCTCTGATTTACTGGTTACTTGTTTCATTGCAGATCTATGGACAGAGCTGTATTATTTGAAAAAAATATACTTTCCTTGGTAGCTTTTTGTGCTATTTTTTTTTTCCACAATTCACATCTAATATGTGTTATGCTGTTTGCAATATGTGCAGATAGTGCGACTAAAAGGAGAACCTAAAATCTGTCAGTAATATGATCACAGAATTATCAAAAAGCAAACTGTAAAAATAAAGACCAAAATTGATTATAAAGTTTTTTTTTTTTGTTTTTTTTTTTGTTTTTTTTTAAGAGTTAACACTTAAAGTTGGTGTTTATCCTGCTTATATTTTCTTTCCCTGGTTCCTTTCTCCCTCTCACCCAAAATTCTAACAAAGTTAGAAAAGAAAAAAACGTTTATTACATAAATTATTTTTTGTGCTTCTCAGTGCAATGCAGGCAGATTACAGATTATGGTTTGTGGTTAGGGCTGGCTGAGTGCTGTATATAGATTCCTGCAAATATTACAGCATCCTGCCTTAGACTAAAAGAGCCCTCAATAGAAATACCTCCTCCGTGATGGATGGATTTCAGTCCTTAGAAGTGGGTGATCCCAGACATTCTGCATTTGCATGCAGACCACCCTAGGTAATGCTCACATGTGATGCCTAACCTCACTGATCAAAAGAACTGAAATCTAGTGAATGAAAAGGACAGGCCAGGGGCAGTTGGGATGGGAACAAAAACGCTTGATGATTCTGGATATCCTCTGGCCAGGAAATGAGGCAGGCTTTATCTGACTTGTTGCAGCTTCTGCTGCACACTGTGACAACAGAATGCAGTGAAATCAGAGTAAGCAATTTCAATATAGGAAGGGGTCCTGTGCAACTGTGCAAGATGGAAGGCGAGGCTGGAATTCAGCTTTAGCCAAAACACTGTATTTTGTAGCATTTAATTCCAAGTTCTTTTTTTTTTTTTCGTTACTCTTCCATTCACTTAAAATAATGTCCGTTATCCTACCAGCAAGGTGTATCCACAGGCACTCCCTTTCTTAGGGTAACCATGCTTACTTGGTTCAACTGAACTGTTGTCACCTCTTTCTTTCTTTGTGCTCCTGAGCTGACTGCAATGCCTATTGCACTGTAACACTACGATGTAGCCAGTACAGTAAAATTGTGACCCTCAGTCACTGCTGGATGTCTCTAGGGAATTTATGCGAAGATCTATATGATGTACATAGCACAGGAAAAGTAAACATTTTGGGGGAACACTGTATATTTATTTTATTTTTGAAAAAAAAGTGCTTCCCGCTTTAATTTAATTTGTGAAGTTCTACTTTAAGTAAAAATACAAATAAGATCCCTCTCGCACTGGGCGGACTCCACTAAGATCAGCATGGGATCTGTCCGCTGATCCCCCTACTGATCCAAGCAGTGCTGGCAGAAGAAAGTTCTGTGTTTGCTCAGTTTATGCACAGCAGACACGGACAGAGCCAGCTCTGCTCTATGGGCGGGACGGGTGTAAACAGACTCCACTGTCAGTTTACACCTGACTGCCCTCCAATTGAATCTGCCTAGATGGAGGGCACGGATCTCCTTCCATTATTCTTTATTATTTTTTTATTTTTTTTTATATAGTGGACCTGATTGGACCTAGAGGTAGGCAGGTGTAAAAGGACACCCATCTGTCCATAGGGGTGAAGGGACCATCTGATCAGGTCCACCTGAAAAACTGATAGGGGGAACTTAATGGACTCTTCACATGGAAGGGGCGTAATAGCCCAAGAAAAGAACCTTTTGACACACTTTAATGCTAATGTTTTAGTGTTGTTTTAGTGCTGTCCTTTGAAAAAAAATCATTTTAAAATTTTAGCACCAAAATTTGGAACCAAAAAACGTTTCTGTTACTATGCAGAAAACTTTCTAATGTGTTCTCTGTGATTAAGCCCTGCCAAATGGCATGTCAGTGTCCAGTGAGCTTCAATGGCCAGTAAAGGCACTCTAATTTGGATGCAAGGGTGGTGTAGCTAGGCCATCACATCAGATAAAGTTAAGCCCTGGTAACAAAGTAAAACTAGATCAGAGAAGCTCACATAATAGACCATGTGACTAATAACTGTAATAGCAGGCATCTTGCGGAGTTTGCTGTTAGGCAGAATGTTTACTTGAAGAAGGTTCATTTTTAAGGTTGATGTTTGTAGTTCTCCAGTCATGTTTTCCTTATCTTCAGGCTTTTAGTAAAGTCCTCATGACCATGATGAAACATTACTTCCGTTCTGAAGAAGGAGGAGAACGTTCCGTCTGTTTGACATTTGCTTTCTTTTTTCTTCTCATTGCCATGATCGTAATGATTGTGAGGGAAGAATATCTGGAGTTTGGACTGGAATCAGGTGAGCCTAAGTTCATCCTCTTTGTCTTGCACAGAAAAAAGAGTCATTATTATTTTTTTGAAGCATGGTTAGTCACTTGCTTCCAAGATCTTGAGCATGTCATTTTTTGGTCCTCACCTATAGTGTTTTTAATGTGCTGTGGTTGAATCATCAGCTCATTAATTTTCCACACTCTTTGGGCAACAACTCAACATTACAGCATTACAAAAAATAATTTTTAAAGTGAATTACAAGGCTTTAACCATTCACAACAGTAAAGGCTCTTTGGGAACAAGCTGAAGGCTAGCTGAGCTAAATCTTCTGCTGTGAAATGCAGAAGTGAGCCATTGTGAGCAAGTAATACTACTCACTTAAATTTTTTTGTTCTCCAAAAAAGAAAAGCATTATCCTCATGTGTGATCAAACTAAATAACTGCATGCTGCAGCCCATGCATCAATCACAAATGTATTAAATAAAGCATGGACCAGTTTTGCCCTCATTTTAATCTATAATTCAGTGTTCCCCAAATAGCGTACTTGGTTTATTTTTTGTGTCTTTGTGTCTATGTTATCTATTTCACACAAATTGGACTTTCTACATAGGTTTGAACAGCGTCTGTCAGAATCTGGAACTTCTAATGAAGCAGCAAGGCTGGCAGGTGTCGTAAGTGTCTATTCAGTTCTCAAAGATTTGGCTTAAACTATGTGCACTGCAGTGTTGTTTATTAAAGCACCATCTATGTCTATATTTGAAGTTTAGGTTGCTTTAAAGTAGATTTAAACCCAGTCACCTCAAATTATTTCTTTTAACCTTTTAAATCTGCAGCTTTTGTTAACCACTTGCCTACAGGGCACATATTCCCCCTTCCTGCCCAGGCCAATTTTCAGCTTTCAGTGCTGTTGCATTTTGACTGACAATTGCACGGTCATGCAACACTTAATCCAAACTAAATTGTTATCATTTTTTAAGACAAATAGAGCTTTCGTTTGGTGGTATTTAGTCACCACTCTTTTTTTTTTTTTTTTGTTTGTTTGTTTTTTTTTTGCTAAACAATCAAAAAAAGACCAAAAAGTTTGAGAAAAAAAGTTTTTCTTATTTTCCGTTATAAAGTTTTGTAAATAAGTAATTTTTCACTGATGGGCACTGTTGAGGCATTGATGAGGCTGCGCCAATATACGTCACTGATGGGCATGGATAGGCGTCACTGATGGGCATGGATAGGCGTCACTGATGGGGCTACACTGATCATCAGGGCAGGCTCTCCCAAACAAGCCAACCGTACTGTAGCCATCTTTTGGCTATAGCACGGTCAGGAAGTGGTTAAAAAAAAAAAAATACAGTTTATCATACCTTGAAAGCAATTCCTGTTATAGGATGGTAACTACAGTATATACAAAGTGTGCTCTTGCATTGGCACCCTGTCACATATGTCAGTTGGTGACAACAAACAGTTGCGCCACATTCTGTAGACAACCAGTCCTGAACAGTGAAGTGCAGCTGATGCTAGAGTGACTGAAAGAGGTTGGAGGAGGTGAGCTACACGAAGAGGCAAGGGATGAAAATTAAGTGAAAACAAGTATTTTATGGAATAAATCCTTGATGATGCACAGTGCTGTAGCAACTCATTTAGGTTTAGGATTTATGTCCACTTTCACACACAATAGTTGTAAAGCTTCAGTGGTTGTAAACTAATAAAAATTGTATAATACTCTTCTTTTTCTTTTTTTTTTCCCCTCAGGACTCCTTTCATTAAACTTGCCTTCAAAATTGCCTTGGTGGCACTTTGCTCTTTTCTTGGTGCCTGTCTGACATTCCCTGGCTTACGTTTGGCTCAGACCCACCTTGATGCTCTTAATATGGCAGCAGATAGACCAATGCTTCAGTAAGTTATGATCACCAAGAAAAAAGCATACTGCATGTTGAAATGCATTTATATTACAAAGTATATGAAAACTATTTTTAAAAATACATTTCAAATATTTTTAAAAATAAAAATCTACATTTTTGGAATGCATTTACAAATATATGTAAAAATCTATGTTAAAATGACTTTATTTTTTAAAAAATATCTTCCATATATATTGTAATATATAAAAAAAACACATTTCAACATGCAGTGTGTGTGTGTGTGTGTGTGTATATGTATATATGTGTGTATATATATATGTATGTATGTATATGTATGTATGTATGTATATACACACACACGTATATGTGTTGAAATGCATTTTTTATATATTATAAAATATTTTTTAAAAAAGTTTGTTTTGTTTTAAATATATAAAGTCATTTTAACATGTGTGTGTGTGTGTGTGTGTGTGTGTGTGTGTATATTTATGTATGTGTGTGTTTACGTGTGTTTTATGTTTATGTATGTATATGTGCATATATATATAAATATATAAACTTTCATTTGTATACGATCAATGACAGTGTTGTATTTTTTTTTGTGTTAGGATTTTACTTCATGCCAGCTTTCTGCCTCCCGTCTTTGCTGTGGTTTTTGTGGATTCGGCCAATCACTAGAGACTTCCTCTTAAATGCGCCAATGGGAAAAGAGTCTGTTCAGCTGTGAGTTGCAGCAAGAACTTTTACTTAGAAGTGTGTTTATTGTATGTAAGATCCAACAAATATGTTTACTAAGCGATTTTACATTGCGATGGAGCCCCTTAGCATGTTGAAATGTGATACACAATTCTTTTTAATTACTATTTTAATCAACATTATAACAGGCATTTTTTTTTTATTATTATTCATGAATCATGGGTGTTTTAAGTACCTGAAAATTCCCATTGCTTCTTTCTGTATTTAGTGCTGCATACAACCATCTGTCTTTTTTCATCATGTCCTCTTATTTTTGCTGAATACTGATAATTAACCACTATACTAAGATCAGCACCACTGTGTGCATACCATGGGAAAAATAAATACTATGCAAACACACAAAACCATCCAACTACAGAAAGGCCTCTTTGACTTTACGAAGCCAGTCTCCTTGGCCTTTACCACATCCTTGGAAAATGGCAGGTTTATACATGTTCTCTTTATTATAATCCTTTTTGGAAAAGAACAGTTTATCATTTTTGTGCATTGACTGTCTATGTAAAGGTGGGGAAAATGTGATTTAATATGCTGTAAACCACTCACATATTGCCCTCCCCAAGAAGACTACAGAAAAATGTCCTATAAGTTATTAGGGAGGTTTTCAGGCAACATAGGAAAGACCACAGAAGTAAAAATTACATAATTTGTATTGCCTGCAAACCGTAAAAACTCTTATTGTACATAAATATGAATTGTATACAAATGTCCCTTACATTAAATACCACATTAGACCCTAGAAAACTTTTTTCTACCATCATATTGACAAAAGACCTTTTGTTGACACATTTTCGAGGTATAGGCGATTCATTAGGACAGATGTCATTAGGACAAATGTAGGTATTTACAGTCATATACAGGTATTTAGTCACTTGTCCAATCTATCTGAAAATTATCCAATAAATAATCTATATCGAATAAAATCACTGAAACATCTCCATCATACTGTTTGCCACCAGGACACCTTCCATTGTGGGTATATGATTGTTTTAGGTTTTCTGTTGTTTTTTTTTTTTTTTCTTCTGTTGGTTGATTATTATTATAGGTTCTTATGTAGCGCTGTCAATTTACGCAGCGCTTTACATATATATTGTACATTCACATCAGTCCCTAACCCTCAAGGGGCATACAATCTAAGGTCCCTAACTCACATTCATACATACACATACTAGGGACAATTTAGACTGGATCCAATTAACCTACCAGCATGTCTTTGGAGTGTGAGAGGAAACCGGATTATCCGGAGGAAACCCATACAGGCACAGGGAGAACATGCAAACTCCAGGCAGGTAGTGCCGTGGTTGAGATTTGAACCAACAACCCTGGTACTGCCAGGCGGAAGTGCTAACCATTTAGCCACTGTGCTGCCTTGTGTCCATCCTGACTAATGATGTAACACAATGAATGGCAGAGTCTCCTTATTAGTACAGGTGAGAAATGGAAAAAAAAAAAAAGATCTCCTCCATCCTCACGTGGGCCCAGCTCACATGGTCCTTTTTTTCTTAACTTTTTCCACCTGTGTTAATGAGGGGTTAAAGTGTTACTAACCCCACAACAGTAAAATCAGTCTGTATATGCAGTAAAGCATGCTTGTTATACTCACTGTGGAAGCTAAGGGGTTAATCCTCTGCATTGTGTAAAATGCTGTTTGATCCTGACTTCTCTGATCTTCCCCTTTTTTCTAGTGTCCCCTCTTATCCCCTTATAAAACATATTGTGTGGAGTCACTCTGTGTATGCTCAGTTTGGTGTGTATTGCTAGAGAGGTTTTTTTTTTGTTCTTGGGAGAGTGCATGTGATCAACACAGGGCCAATCAACACTGTGTAGACAGAGGCCAGGGGTTCCGCATCCTCTGAGAGCAGAAAGAAAAACTCCTCCTACAAGCTTTAACCAGTGCTTTGCTGGACACTTATAGAAGTCACAAGACTTCTCTAACTGCTGATGGGAAAAGCTATTTACTGGTTATATTTAATAAATTAATTGCATTTCCATGTTTTGTGTACTGTGGGAGACCAGATAGAGTGATGCAGAGTCTTGAGTTTAGTAACACTCTAATTTTCAGATGGATTAGACAAGTGATTGAATGTCTGTATATGACATTAAATGCCTACCCTGGCCTGATGAAGTAGGTATATCATGAAATGCATCAACGAGGTCTTTTTGAAATGGCATGGGGGTATAGGATACCGTCACTAATGTTCTATTCAGTGTAATGCACATACAGTATGTATCCAATACATTTTATATACATGTATAATAAAACATTTTTTTCTTTTGTGAGAATATATCGTAAAATTATGTAATTTTCTTTTTATGTGAACTCCATTTGATGTTTTCTGAAAAACTCCCTATTGACTTTTTACAAGTTGTACTATAGTTTATCATTAGTTTTTTGTGATATAGGATATGGATTCATTATCCTAGATCTAGTAGAGTAATGCATGTTTGCACTATTGCAGAGTCTGATTGTTATGCCTTATTCCCAGTATGTCGGACTCCACTTACAACACTTTCCGCCTGTGGATCATCGTGGTTTTTTGCCTCCTCCGTCTCTCCTTGACCCGCTACCATTTGCAGGCCTACCTGGGACTGGCTGATCGTTGGGTGGAGCAGATGAAGAGGGAAGCGGGGCGAATATCTATGGTGGAGATCCAACGTAAAGTATGTGGGAATAAAGCACTAGATAATTTGATGATTTTGATAGTTTGAAGATATGTGCATTTAATTTCTAGGGGCTTTAGATAACGCATCATTTGTTTATTTGTAATATAATATTTTGAACGAATGTATAAAACTGTAGCTATAACTGAGAATGAAAAATGTCACCACCCTGCCTTCCCACCTTGTCCAGCCTGAGAATGCTTTTCATTCATGCAGAAAATGCAAAGCATTCTCTGAATGGCACCCTGCTGAGTGGCCAACCTGATGCATTGTGAGCACAGCAGGCTGACCACTTAGCAGGGTGCCATTCCACTCAGAACAGGACCTGGAAACAAGTGGAGATTACTAAAGTAGCAGTGTCTACTTTAGTGATTTCCAGCTCCCATGGCGATCAGCCAGGTATGTTTTTTTATATAAATAGTTACATTGGTCCAAACTAGATCAATATATTATGGAAAAAATATTCCATGCCTGGAGAATAGTAATGATAAAAAAAATGTAATTCAAAATTATGTAGAAGTAGCTAAAGGAAGAAGGATAGAAAGGAGTTAATTCGATCTGAAGTGGGGTTAAAGTATAATTAAAGTCAGAACTTCTTTTTTTTAGTTTTGGATAGAGTAGAGAGGGATTAGAACACCTGCCAGGTCTTTATCGCTGTCTGTGCCCACATTGAAGAGATTCAAACATTTGTCATGTTTTTTAGTGTTATCGGTGAAAGAAAATCCGAAATTTTGAGTTGTTCCCCAGGGAAATCTTCCTACTTGGGGCACTTCTGATTACCGTGGTGACAACCAGGGATTCCTTCATTTTGGAGGGATTTCCTCTCATTTTTTGTTTTGGCTATGGGACAGGAAGTGAAGAGAAAACTCCCCAATGGGATACAGTTGGGGGAAAAAAAACTGCCAAGGGTTATAACCATCCCCTACTCTATCCAAAAGGAAAAAAGTGTTGCCTTTATTTCTTCTAAGGGCTATTAAGGGGCTAAATAGAAATACAAGGTTTTTTTTTTGGTTTTTTTTTTTTTTTTTTTTTTTTTTTTTTTTACTTGTAAGATTTCTTTAACTGATGTCATATGCAGATCAAAGGTCACATCCTTGATCTGCATATGAATATAACAGTAAACGCAATGTAACAAAACATTGTTCCATGTAATTACTCAATGACATTTACAGACTATCTGCAAATATTCTTTTACACAGGAGAGGCTGCATTTTGACAGACAGTAATGGTAGTATGGGAAACAGTGGCAGGGAAAAGGAGCTGAACATAGGAGATAAAGCCTAGAAACAATTTTGAATTTTTTACGACATCCAGGGTTAGACAAAAAAAAATGGAAAGACTACGTGATTTGCAGTGAAAGTAACGACATGTTTCACGTTGATAGCAGAAGTGATGTAACCCTCTTTGGCCTCCACTGTGTGATGAGACACCTAGCTAACAGGTGGGGAGCCTCCCTTTAGTCATTCACTGCGTGTGCTGCTGGTGATATAGAGTTACGTCAGAGCTTACTGAGCTTCAATAAGGGCACATTGTTGATGCCCACTTAGATGATGGCTCTGTAAATGAAGTTGTCAATTTATTTGGGGTGTCAAAGAGGTACAGTATCAAAGGTTATGATGGCATATACAGCTTCTGGGAAAACATCATCTGATAAGCACCAGCGCGGTCAACATGGTCAACTGACCAAAAGAGACAGAAGGACATTGTGCAGGATTGTGACCTGGAGTAAGAAAACAACTGCTGCAAAAGTGACTGCACAGCTCAATCTCAGTCTTCCAAAGCCTGTGTCCACAAAAACTGTGCAGAAGGAAACTCCATAAGCAAAACATTCACGGGTGATCTGCAATTGTCAAACCACTGGTGACCGAAAGTAATGCACAGATGAGGAGAGAGTGGTGCAACACCCAGAAATCATGGACGACTGTAATATGGTCTGAATCGAGCTTTACACTGTTTCCAACCAATCCAATCCAAGAGACAAAAGGACATTGCACAGGATTGTGACCCAGAAAAAGAAAACTGCTGCAAAAAGTGGCTGCAGAGCTCAATCTCAGTCTTCATGCGTTCTTATTCCAGGTCACAATCCTCTGCAATGTCCTTTTTGTCTCTTTCGGTCAGTTGACCATGTCAACCGCGTTATGCTTATAAGACGTTTTTCTGGAAACTGTATTTGCCGTGTTAACCTTTGATACTGTACCTTGCGTCACGGCAAATAAGTTGGCAGCTTCAGTCACAGAGGTCACAGCTAAGCAGGCACCAACAATTTGTCCTCTTTGAAGCTCAGTAAGCTCTGACATGACTCTGTATTACTAGCAGCACACGCAGTGAATGACGAAAGTGAAGCTTCCCACCTGTTAGCTAGGTGTCTCATCACACAGTGGAAGCAAAAGAATGTTGTATCATTTCCGCTTTCAATGCAAAACATCATTTTTCACACCGGCAAATCATGTTGTGTTTGCATTTTTCTTTTTGTCTAACCCCTGTCTTTTCCATGGTTAAATCCCCAAGTGGTTAATATTACATTTTAAGGTGCCATTAGACTTGAAAAGTAAGAGATGGTCTCATGTCTGTGACACACCCACAGACACTGCTGGATGAGGCTAATTGACTGGAATAGTGATTGAGCAAGTAAAAACCTTTAAAACATATATTCATTGACTTAAACCCAAAAACCCACAATTATAGTGAAAAAATCAAGACCCAAAGAGATTACCCAAAAATAAAAAATATCAAATATATATAAAAGAACAAAAATAAAATAAAGTCCCAATATGCAAAGTGTCCAAATAATGTGTCCAAACAAAGATCAATTTCTTGATAGGAAGACGCTTCCTACTCCACTGAAGAAGATGCAAATCAATCACAGGTGCTCTTCAAATACCTCAAAAAACAAAATCTCAACATAGTATATTACCTTTTAAATCCCAGAACTAAAGTGCCACACGTGTATCATGCAAAAAGACACTCCAGTGTCACAGCACTCATGTGAAAAAAAAAAAAAAAATTATAAATTCACTGCAAACTATATATAAAGTGCATAATTACCCTAAAACAAACAGATTCCAGCTTGTAATCAACCACATATGTACAGAGTGTCCTTAGATTGGTATCCTCTTGTTCCTCAGGACCTCACAAACAGACCAGGAATCAGTATGTGATTTATAATCATATATAAAAATTGTAGCCACTTACATATAAAAACGATAAGATCAGCAAGACCGCATCAAACTCCTCATGCCCAGTATACGATCCCCTTTCCGTGTGTAGAGGGTCTCCCGATCACCAGGTAATTCCCCCTTGCTACTCCTATCCAGCACTATCACTTTGTAGCTCTGGGGGACACCTGAAGTGCACCGTTACTCTCCAGACCTCCGACACACAGGGATTCCAGAATCCAAAATGGCTGCCGCAGCACTTCCGGGAACGTCACGTGCCCTGGACGCGTTTCGTCTCTTCCGAACTTTGTCAACAAGGATACGGACATAAGGTTCCAGTTCTTTAAGTACCCACTCCTAACCTGGCGGAAATACCTCAGCGGCCATCTTACAAAGTGGAAAATTGAGATGGATGACTACCAAAGCTTATATACCATGCTAGATAGTCTATAGAGGAAGCAATATTACATCCCCACCCCATAGCTCTCATCCCTAAGTTATCCTCAAGACTTTAAGGGATTTCTGAGGATTTTATATATATATATGTGTGTGCTGATTTATACTTATTAAGTAAAAACCTTTGCCTCATTAATTCATCTATACCAAGAATTCCTTCCATGAGCTTGCACCGAAGATGTCTGCAGTGTATCTTCTTGACCTCTTTCCATAGAATAAGCACAAATGATTGCCTGAAGTGAACATTCTTGTGGAGGGATTTGCTCCAAAAGAATAAGATACTTTACCTGGTAGCTGTCAGATTGTACCAAGCTTGTCATAGTGCTCCTTCACGTCTGCCGCTGTATTGGCATAGTTGATGGTTTTTGTTTGTGTTTTTAGCTTTGTTTTGATCCAGTTAATAGGAGCAGCACCCCCCCAAAAACTGAGGGCTACACGTTTCTGCATATTCCTATTGGATGTGTGTGATTGCATACCCATATGAGCATTCATGTCTTTGCACAAGCTTGGTTTAAATAAGCGAACACATAGGTTAGCAAACACATGCCCAGCCTCGAAATCTTGCTTATGAACAGTTTACATACAGTTTCTAAACTAACAATCATTTAAAAAAGAAAAAATTACACAATAGCCCATGTAAGTGTTTTTCATGTTTTTCTTGCATATTGTTTAACGTCTGTTATAGTTCTTTCCTGTCTATTGACTTATAGCTAATTCTTTTTCTTACGCAGATTTCCCGTATCTTCTGCTATCTCACGGTTGTAGCTCTCCAGTATTTGGCTCCTATTATTCTTACCCTTCACTGCATTCTCTTACTGAAAACAATGGGTAAGTATCACTGAACAGTTAGGATTTGTGCACAATCATCTTTCATTTTTTAATCCTCTCTTTTCCAAAGACATGACTCTGAACCTGAAAGAGAAAAAAAAATGGTTTTCCTGGCACTTGTTCTGGTTGCCCAGCCTATTGGCCTAGCTCATTTTTGACTAGAACAGAATGTATGTATCTATACTTGTGCTATTGCCATTTGCAGTGGTCATTTTCCTCTATAGTTTTATTCTAGGTCTGTGTGATTTTATATCTTTATCTGGTCCTTCAAAATGTACTTTAGAAGGTCCTGTTTGGGCTTTTTTAAGCCTGTGCTTCCTGCACCAATAGATATAAAGGATCGTCATTCTCATGGTGTCATTATGCGTGATTCCTGAAAAAGGCAGTTACTTTCTTTTCTAAAGGCCGAGACAAAAGTGCAGTAGGCCTTGCTTTATTTGCCTACTTGCCAGCGAATAAAAGTCTTTTTTTTTTTTTTTTTTTTTTTTTTTTTTTTCTTTGGGGTGTTATTTTTTGGTTCTGGATTGTAGTGAAAATCCATTTTATGTACAAGTTTTAGGTTCAAACAGTATGGGGTTGATGTACTAAACTGCAGATCTGCACCAGAGTTTGCACTCTCCATAGAAACCAATCAGGGTTATTTTGTCAAAGCCTACCGTAATTGAACAAACTGAATTTGGAGCCGATTGTCTACCATGCAGAGCTGCGCCAGATTTTACACACTCCAGTTTTAGTAAATCAACCCCAGTATGTCAGTACCATGTTGTTCTCCAACATTTTGACATGTCAAAACTTGAAAGTCTTGTAAAACCATGTGTTATCTAATAAGTTCAAATATCTATATTTCCAGGTGGTCATTCCTGGGGACTATACCCAGAGGAGCCTGGGTTTACACCTGTTGTAGATTCCTCTCCTGCACCTTCCATAGTATCCTCTGAAGAAGAAGAAGACACAGAGGATGTTCAAATTGCTGTGGAGCACATAATAGGAGCTCTTAGTGCTTTTCGAGATATCTTCTCTTCCATTTTCTTTCGTGGCCTCTTCAGTTTTTTGACCTGGTGGGTCTCTGTCTGCCAAATTGTCACCAGCCTGTTTGGACTGTATTTTCACCAGTACTTAGGAGCTTCTTCCTAAAGTACAATCCTGATAAGACTGAGACTTTTGTTTGTAGTGAGAAACATAACTAGGGTCTTCCTTCACCAGTGGTGATACTTTGATTTGGGATACTAGTACTCTTCAATGGAAATTATTTTGGTTAATTTTAAAGGGAATGTAACCCACAAGACAAGAATTGCCATGGATATGTTAACAACACAAGAGGGGGGTAAAACAGAAAATGTTAAAGTTTATTTGCTGGATTGAATTCTAAATATCCTTCACTGATGACATATGTCAATTAGAAAGGTATGTTTCTACCAGGGAACACTCCAAAGCATGTTAACTTTTTCTAAATAAATAATACAAATTATAATCCTATTTTAACATTCATTGTTTGAAGAAGTGCTCCAGGAAGATCTGAATTCTTTCCCTTACTCACAAAAGGACTGTTCAGTTTTTAAGGGCTTGTTCACACCACAATTTCAGTGTTTTGGATGAGTTCTTGCATTTGCATTTACACATTTTAATGCATGCCAGTGCATTTTTTTCCTTTTCTGATACTTGAAAAATCTTTATTTTCATTTAGACATTGTGCATTCCAGTGCATTTTACATACATTTTGATGCCTTCTGGATAAAAAAACACTTTGTACTTTTGCTGAATGCACTGGAACTTACTGCATTAGTGTGACGTAGTGCCATTTGGATACATGGCAAATACTGTGCATGCATTCTGGATGCATATTAAAAAAAACACTAGAAAGTATCTGGTGTGAAACAGCCCTAAAGCGTTCAACCTGTTACCTTCCTTAGGACAGAGGGCTCAGTAAAATCAGCTCTGTTTAAACAAAATAATATGGATCAATAGCAGGACTTTCCCCAAGTCTTAGGAGAGCTGATTTCCCAGCTGAGCTACAAGTTCACACAAATTTTAGCGCTCTAATGATCATGTAGTTAAAGCATATTTACATGCAAAACAAAGTTTTAACCGGTTCAGTTCCGCCCCATAAAATAGTCCCCAGAAATACTGCTACAGGGTGGCAGCTGTGTGCAAAATCACGTGTGTGTGTATATATGTATATATATATATATATATATATATATATATTATATATATATATATATTATCCATGTGATTTTGCATTTCCAGGTAGGGAGCGTGTGCACCCTATCCACGCTGCCATTCGCGGCCACGGCTGTCAATCACTGGGTTCCGGCCAGTGATTACTTGCCGGAGCCAAGTGATTGCCAAGAATCTCTGATGGAGGGGTGAACTGTTAGTAAACAAAACAGTTCTCGTCCCTGTCAGATCCAGCACACTGCTTTGCATGGCTGTGCACTGCAGAGCCATGCAAAGCAGTGTGTGCTTACAGTGAAGCACATACACAGCCCACATTGTAAAACAGCACACAGTTGACCCTTTGATCGCCCCATATGTTAACCTCTTCATGCCCAGTGCCATTAGTAAAGTGTCAGTGCTTTTTAGTAGCACTGATCACTGTATTGGTGTCACTGGGAATGTCAGTGACACCAAGTCAGTTCCTCCCAGTGTCAGAATGCCCACCACAGTCCCGCTGTAAGTCGCCACTCGCCACCATTACTAGTAAAAAAAAATATATATATATTGGGGTTTTTTTTTAGCAAAGACATTTTAAATGTTTTCACTGGACGTGTTTAATGGCGAAAAGTCAAAACTGTTGTTTTTTTTTTCTCGAAATTGTCGGGTTTTATTTTTCCAAAAAATGGAAAAACCGCACAGGCGATCAAATACCACTGAAAGAAAGCTCTATTCATGGGGAAAATAGGACATTTCATTTGGGTGCAGTGTTGCATGACCTCGCAATTGTCAGTTAAAGTGACGCAGCGCCGTAACACAAAAAATGGCCTGGTCAGGAAGGGGGGGGTTAAATGCTCTGGAGGGCAAGTGGTTTAATAAGCCGCAGCTTACCAACCCTTAGATGTGGTGACTGGATTCGTTTTATTATTTCAGGGTTTGTTCCATTTTTGTTTACCTAGTAATCCTGTGAAGAATATACAGTATTTCTTGTCCCTTTGTAGTTATACTCATTTTTCTGTTCTGTCTATGAAGACTGATATTTTCTGTACTTGCTGAAAATATTCTCAGCCTGAAAACAAGAAAACTAAAGCAGCCACTACATATAAGGACTAGAGTGCTAGTGTAAATATTTGTTTTTGGGTTTAGAGAAGCTTTAAAGAAAAACTCCAGGAATAATTTTTGGAAAGGACTTGAGGAGGTAAGCTATCTAAAGATAGTGTGCCCTCTATACACCTTGGTGGAAGAGCAACAGTACATTTTTGTTCACTGCTTTTGGTCCCTGTGCATTTAGTTTCTAGTTCCTGCTATTACCTAAGATATTAGCTGCTGCAGTGGAACTCAGTGGGGCTGCCATTGTGGAAACTAATTCCTCTGAAATCTAGAAGGTGCAGAGTCCGGAAGCAGTAAGGTAATGGTAGGTTTTTGAAAAGCTGCAAAGGATAGTATAATAAGTAACACATTACACTTACCTCCCGCTGTCTTTTCCAAAGTCAATGCCTGGAGCTTTTATTTAAACAGAAACCACTCTGTCCCCCATCCCATCCTATGTTAGGAATAGGATATTAAATATATTCTATACATTTTTGACAAACTTCTTGAATGTAGTAATATTTCCCTTTTTATTGGAAAAAACCTTAATTCCTATATATTTTTGACTGCTTGCTCTTGATTTACTATAAGTTGCACCTTCCTCATGGTTTGTTTAATGATCTAGAATTTTTGTTACACCAAATGGTTGTCTGGCAGGCTTCAGATTCAGCTGCTAATTGATCATTTGTTAGAATGATTAGAAGACAAATTTGTATTGGCCAAGCATGTATTACTGCATCTTGGACAATCAATTATTGTGGGGATTTTAATACTGTTTTGTCCAGCCATGTCTATGCTACTCCTTTAGCCTGCTATAATATGAAAGGTTTGTCTGTATATATTTAGCCATATCTTCCAAATTTATTTAGGCCATGACTGAAGATGAATTCAGGTTCAGAACACAATCCATTTATTGGCTAAAAAAAAAAAAAAAAAAATTTGAAAAATTTCCTAACCATATAAACCCTATTTACCATTAGATTGCACACAATTGTTGTTTTCATCTATCAAACATTCTCCACAGTACTGAGGGGCAAGTTCACAGTAAGATGACTTGAAATAAAAGTTGTGAACACAGGCAGACTTGTGGCCAGTTTAGTCTAATTAGATTTGGCTTTATGTGTGTACACTGCTACAATCCTACTATTCTACTGTATAAATGAATGCAGATTTTAGACAAGACACTTGAAGAGACATAAAAGTTTGTGTCTCATATATGCTCTTCCAAAAGAAATATCAGGATAGGAATTTGGGAGCTACTATTGTTGACTTGTATATGCAGGTGCATGCTCCAGGGCTGTCAACCTAATCCTGGCTTGTTTACTTAGACTTAGGAAACTATCGGGCATCTTATCACCAGATGAATGTTCTTATTTCAGTTGCATGTTTGCCGAGTACTGAAGAACTCAAAACTATATTTGCCTTGGTTCTTGGCAAAGTCAGCAATGGCATCTACCATATTTCAGTCCTGATAGATTTCTATTAAACCATAGCCTTACTAATAAGTGCTTACACATGGGTAAGCTGAAATATATTCTTGTTTTTTAGTAATGTGGTGCCAACAGCCGTGCTGTGTAGAAGCTATTTCCATTCAATTACAGATCAGTTTTACTGGTAGCATATTAAGTTACTAAAGGCTGATTGGTTGCTACAGGTTGCAGCACTTCATTTGCATTTAAACTGTTTAAAAAAGCCCGTGTTTGAAAATGATACTTATTATGTAATAAATTGATTACATTTACTGAAATAAAGTTTTATGGTTTTATAAAATTAAACTAGCTGTGTCTGAGTGTTCCTGTTTCTTAAATACTGTATATACACAATAAATACAACCACTCTCTCTCTATATGTGTGTGAAAAATTATATGACTGCAATTTGGTTATACATAAGACTGAATGTTTTAAGCTGGGAAAATGTAGAAAATCTAATAACCAAAAATGGTTATTCCACTGAAAAGCAGAAGCTCTGCTTATTTGCCTCCTCTCCCCCCCCCCCCCTCCACTGCAGTATTTGGCACCTTTTGGGAGGGGAGAGGGAATACCTGTTTTTGACAGATACCCACTCCCACTTCTGGCTCAGTTCTCTGCAGCGCAGTGAGCCAGAAATTCAGCCCCCTCCTCCCTCCTGCAGTTTTCGTGGGAACTTTCACAGGTCCCAGAACACTGTCGGACCAATTAGGAAGCGCAGCATGACTCGCACATGCGCAGTAGGCAAGCTGTCACAGCCTGGTGCCCAGAGTAGAGATGCCAGCACCGTGGAGGGGAGAAGGGATGGCATAAGTGAGTACATCACTGAACCCTGGAACAGGTAAGTGTGTGTTTATTAAAAGTCAGCAGCTACAGTTTTTTTGTAGCTGCTGACTTAATAAACACAAACGGCTGGAACTCCGCTTTAAGTTATTTAAAAACGTAGTCACTGCTCAATGTAAAGTCTAGATCTGAGTCCAGGTGGCAAGATGTATTGCAAAGGAAAGGGAAAAACAGCAGCGATTCATGGTCAGGCTGGTCAACACTGCATAGTAGCATGATGGGCTATAGTATAGTTCTAAGTAAGTACAGTAGTGTCAGCTTTGACATTGAAGGGAACGTGTCAAGATAGTAATATTGACACTTCCACAGCTAACACTTTTTGAAAGTGCAAGGTCCATGGCTTTTTTATATCTTGTTTCATTGCTTACTGAATTACTGACCAGGGATAAGCACATGAATGAAGGTATAAGTTAATCATGCCAATGTGTAAGTTGTTATTTGAAAGCTGTTACTCAAGGCTGATTCAGTATCAGGAGCCAATAAAAAATACAGCACATACCTTTTAGTAACAAAACAACATGCAATTAATTAAAAAGGTGGCTACGAGAAAATTCCTGCTAGATTTCCCCCTCTCCTGTATA